AACCACACTGGCAAAGTCTTATTTATAGTATTATGCCCCTAATTTGCAGGTGGGACAGTGTATGAGAACATAAAATTTGGATCCCTCAAGAAAGAGGGTAAAATGTGCGGGAATGTAAGAGCAGACGGTGTTGATAGTTGAATTTTGTGCGGGAGCAGGAGGGGAAGAAAACAACATCAGCAGCACCAGAAAGGAGGAAGACAGAGTGTGGGAACACAGGACCTACACTTTCAACACTTTTATTAGACCTGGGTCCAGTGGACCCGAACACCTTGTATGTAATGTAAATGCGTGGGGGGAGGTACAGTATGAGGTCATTGAAAATTAGTTCGTATTTATGTTCTTCACAGAAAATAAGCCAAAGCCAATGAATTTCAGGTTGACAAAATAATTGTTTAATTTTTCTTTTGAGAAAAACTGAAAACGGGTCTCACAGACCCGAACACCATACAAGGGTTAACAGGAAGTGTGGCCATTAGCCACGACCGGTTGGGGGTGAGGGGAGATAGACAGGATAAAGACACACTTTGGAAGAGTGCACAGTTGAACGTTTTCAGACTGTCTCTCATGGAAGGCTTTCATAGTGTTGGACAGATACATTTCAGATACATAAGTTACTGAAACTTAAGCTCTATGAAGAGTAAAGCAAAACTGCCGCGTCCAGGGTCTCTTGTGATTCTGGAGCTTTTTGCCAAAGGATATCAGTTCATTGTTGGGAAGCAGGAATTGCGACACAGTTCTGTGACATCCATTTTATTGTTGCTGCTATTAAGTCACATTTTTCCCTTCCCTACTCCTCCTCACTTTTGGCAGCTGAACAGGGATTGTACACAGCCCTGCTTTTTATTATAAAGTTAAAGGGAAGGTCAAATTGAACCTTGTGTGCACAAAACTACGAAAGAGATATAGATGAGTGTGTACAGTTTGACCTCTTTATTTTCTCCTATGCAGGGCGGTCCAGCATGTGAATACTGCAGAATAACCAGGAGTGATGTCAGAAAGGCTCTGGGCTTTAAATCCATTGAAAGGTTTGGAAGTAAGTCAGGTTCAAACATCATACTGCAAATATCTGAGCTCTATGTGAGTTTGAGGTTTGAATGAACTTTGTTCACACCTATTTCCACAGTGCTAAGAATGTGGTTCACCTTGTAATTA